GTTCTGTACGGTTCTTGTTATTTTTTCTTTTAATCTTTAACACTCCAGAAATGTACTTCAGCATGTGATATATAGCTTAATTATCCACACTTTAGGATACAGTATTAAAAAAATATATATTATATTCATGCAATCATGCACAAACTGAATTTGACTCTTTGACTTTAAGCACATTTTGGGACTATCTCAGAGGAAAGCTAGGTGAGATTTAGATACAGCAAGAGAGAAGAAATTGACATGCTTTTTGTTTATTTGGCAAAAAAAAAAGGAGAATGTGTATCACTATCTCTACAAGAACTTGTGCATTTTTATCACATAAATCTTATTTACACAAAGAAATTAACTTTCATGTATCAACTGCTAACTTTTGTAGCTCTTACCAAAATTCTATCTTTTAAAAGAAAAAGAGAGGAACTCTTAAAACACTGTCTTTTAAATGTCAATATACATGAAACCTCATTGCCTATAGATAATTAAGCTATAGCAATAGCAAAGGCCATAAACATAAAGTGAAATTGAAGTTCAACCTCAACACAAAAACAGTATCAACAATGCTTCTATTCCCAAAATGCGAGGGTACTTTTCCACTTAAAATTAAAGTGCAGGGTTTGGAAACGTATGACTGAAGCTCTTATCTATACATAAAGTGCCACTGTAGTTAAATTAAAATATCATAACATGAAATCCAAAATGTTCCCACACACCGGACTTATACCATAGACTTATACGACGCTGGCGCATCCTCCAACTCCCTCATCTCTCCCACTTGCCATTTCTCCGCGTGCCGTGACCTGCAGCGCTCCATACTCCACTTTTACTGGCTTGTTTATTAACTTGAACCGGCGCTGCACAGAGCGATCGGTAATGACATCATATTCCGCGAAAGTGATGAATGCATATGGAGCCGACTCGCGCTAGATTGATGTTATTCACCGATCGCTCTGTGCAGCGCCGGTCCAAGTCGAACAAGTTTATGTCGCGCGAAAAGAAAACACACGTCACATACGGGCACGAGGTTACATTGCGCATGCGTCGAACCGTGAGACGCACACGCGCTCCGAACCGAGACAAGCGAACCGAACGGTTCGGGTGTTTTTTCATGTACCGTGCCACCCCTAATATATACTCACCTAAAGAATAGGAACACCTATTCAATTTCTCATTAATGCAATTATCTAATCAACCAATCACATGGCAGTTGCTTCAATGCATTTAGGGACGTGGTCCTGGTCAAGACAATCTCCTGAAGCAAAGCATTTGTGAAGCCACAACACGCAAAACCTTGAGGCGGATGGGCTACAACAGCAGAAGACCCCACCGGGTACCACTCATCTCCACTACAAAAAGGAAAAAGAGGCTACAATTTGAAAGAGCTCACCAAAATTGGACAGTTGAAGACTGGAATAATGTTGCCTGGTCTGATGAGTCTCGATTTCTGTTGAGACATTCAGATGGTAGAGTCAGAATTTGGCGTAAACAGAATGAGAACATGGATCCATCATGCCTTGTTACCACTGTGCAGACTGGTGGTGGTGGTGTAATGGAGTGGGGGATGTTTTCTTGGCACACTTTAGGCCCCTTAGTGCCAATTGGGCATCGTTAAAATGCCACAGCCTACCTGAGCATTGTTTCTGACCATGTCCATCCCTTTATGGCCACCATGTACAGTACCCATCCTCCGATGGCTACCTCCAGCAGGATAATGCACCATGTCACAAAGCTCGAATCATATCAAATTGGTTTCTTGAACATGACAATGAGTTCACTGTACTAAAATGGCCCCACAGTCACCAGATCTCAACCCAATAGAGCATCTTTGGGATGTGGTGGAACGGGAGCTTCGTGCCCTGGATGTGCATCCCACAAATCTCCATCAACTGCAAGATGCTATCCTATCAATATGGGCCAACATTTCTAAAGAATGCTTTCAGCACCTTGTTGAGTCAATGCCACATAGTATTAAGGCAGTTCTGAAGGCGAAAGGGGGTCAAACACAGTATTAGTATAGTGTTCCTATAATCCTTTACGTGAGTGTATATATATATATATATATATATATATATATATATATATATAATGTTACATTGAAATGCTTCACATTGTCGTAGTATAAACTTTGTGCATAAAGAAGCAACTAGAATTGTTTCTTATACATATTATAAATGCTTGAGGGCTTTTTCCTGCACAGATTTAAGAGTCTTAACAACCCTGTTTACAACAATTTGTTCTTAATTTTATGCTAAAATGTCCATTCCATGTTGGAGTTTATTGTTTAGTGATGTGTTGAATAGTTGTTTGTTTGGCAATATGCTGAGGACTTTATTGTTTCATCAGTGTGAGGCTAATTAATCACTCGGCTCTATCAGAATAATGAATTTGCACTTTTCAGCTCGTATCTGTTGTTGGATTAAAGACGATTTAGACTGAATTGTGCTATTCTTCATGTTGGCTTGCTTCCACATGTTACAACAGTTCTTAAAAGAACATTTTTTTCCCTTAGTTTGATGAAAATTTTAATAATCCAAATAACCTTTTTTTCCACTGTAAAGAACCTTTTGTGCAATGAAAAGGCCCCATGGATTTTAAGTTTCTTTTTTTTTTTTTTATGGAACCATTGATGCCAATAAAGATCCTTTAGTTTAGAGTGTATTTTGGGTTACCAGGAAAAGTTGATTGGAAAGTGGTAGAAATGGGTCTTGGGAGAAAGAATAAATAACAAGAAGTTAGAAATGTATTTGAGTCTCTATATATTAAAAATAATAAAGTACTTTATATCACATCCCCAGATCAGTGAGGATTTTAGAGGTACTAGAACAAAAGGCAAAATCACCGGTATTTACGAAGCATCACAACAAACATTGTGTGTATGTATGTGTGTGTGTGTGTGTGGAGATGATCCATCTCTACAGTATGTTCCAGTCTTTTTAAGTAGTTAACTCTTTTGTACAATTCTCTCTGTATCTTTTGGCTAACTTCTCCATCTGGATCTACATATGAACATGTCCACCTGGAATGGTATTCGTAGTTCTCCGTTTTGCATCCGTCTTTCACTCACCGTTGCCGTGCTCTCATGCATGCCATCCCATTTCTTTTAAATCTCAACCCTGATTCACACTCCTTTTCAATATTTCCCCTGTTCTGTTGTATTCCATTGGTTGAATTACCACTTTTGCTGAAAGGATTCAGAATAAAATCTCCTGCAATAATAATACTATAAAGATTTAGTGTGAATCACGGTCAAATAGATAAACTTAATACTTAACAATTTCTATTTGAATAACACTTTAACAGTATCTTTTAGGGATGAGCAATGTATGGAAATATTTACATCACAACATTATCAAAAATTATTGGTGATAACAATGCAATAAAAGGTGTTTAAAACAATATTCAAAGTAAAAGAAGGCTTCTCACACATTAAAGGATTTTTATTTATCTGTTTTTTAATCATGATAATTGCAATTAAGCTAATTTATCAATAATAATAATAATAGTAATTATTATTATTATTTAAAAAAACATATTTCTTGTTTTCTCATTTTCATTTTAATTCTATTAAAAATCTCTTAAGATTTTTTTTTTATTATTGATCTAATTCACTTGAACCTTTTCTTAATGTTTCAAAGTGCCCCTATAACAACATTAAACTATGAAACAAATAAAATAAAATAACCTTGCATGAGATCAAGAAAAATAATGTCATGCAGATGAATAAATGAAAACTGCACTTCTTCATTATCCCGAAAAACACAATACAAGCTCATCAACAGCACCTCAAACACTTGTTCTTATCATATTTGTGTTTTTGGGTCAGTAATCCTTAGAATTTGTTCATGGATCATGTCTGAAAAGGCATTCGTGTGTGTGTGCCTTATAAACATCCCTACATCCCAGGCTAGCACCACTTAATAATTTTGTCTTCCTGGTCTCTAAGAATCAGCCTTGACTGTGGAAAATGGAAAACTGTATATTCTGCCCGAGAATTATTCATGTCTGCAGAGACGCATTGAACAAACAACTTCTTTCTTCTCCTCTTACCAAATAACACTTAGTTTAACAGAAAGGGGGATTGGATGTTCCCCTGAAGAGCATCCTGCCCTACTCTGTATGATGAAATACACGGCACAGATGCTTACAGACAGACAACTTAGTTTAGCACTGAAGTGTTCAAGCATAACTGAAGAGAAAGGCATTCAAGTCTCTCAAAGGCCATAATGCATTTAGACAGATTCACGAAACATGAAAAGTTAAAATATTGATATATCAATATTAATATACAAAGATAAAATGATACTTCATTACATTTTACATCATGTCGGTGAACTGTGTGAACCTATATAGCCACAGCTGAAACTCACCTTGACAATATTTAAGAAACTTGAGAAACTCTTGCTATGTTTGAAAATGTATATATTATCAGCACTTCTCATGTTATTGCCGTCTAAAGATAAATTGCTTGAAAATTAAATTAGATGAAATCATCTAAATGCAAATACATTAAACATTTGAGCCAATTATTTGCTAATTGCTAATTTTTAACCTGTCTTGCAATATATCTTTCCCTATTACTGATTTGGGCTTAAGTACTTTCAGCCTGATATCAAGTGCGTATCTATAGCACAAATGTTATTTCTTGTACCATTTATACAGCAAATTTTTTTTTTGCGTGCATAAAAGAAGTTTTCGCGTGCATATGATAAGCACTTTATGGCGTGTAATACGCACGCACTCCACACCCCTAATCCTACCAAGGGTTTTACACTGCACATCATAAAAAAAAAAAAAAAAAGATGTATAAATTGCATGAGAAATAAAATTTGTGCTATAGAAACGCACATGAGATCCTGTTGGTACTTTGAAGAAAATAAAATGAAACAAAAATATCGCCGAGTACCATATAACATCTTGATTGCTTGATCACTTTACCATGTAGCTCCACTTATTATTTTTTTAAAGGATAGACTTCTAAATGTAACAGAATAATCTGAATGTTTTTACAGGACATATGAGGGATACTTCCACGTTGGTTGTGGTTGTACTCGAGTGCACAGGACGGTCGACTGGCAGCAATGGCCCATGGCTGTCTGAGCCAGCAGCAGGATTTCATGCTCCAATACCTTATACAGTAGGTGAGACAAATGAGGGTGACATTGAACCGAATTGTCTGCGAAATCTCACTCATTCGATGCTACGGTGTGAATTTCGGTTGAGGCCAAATCTGTGAGAATCAATTCTTCACGGCATCATTACAGATTTGACATTCCTGATCTCCTTTTTGGCTGTCTGGATGAGTACATGATGATGTTGGATGAAATTGACCCGCCCATTGTAGCACATTGTATTATAATGTCATGTTTGATTTCATCCATATACTGTATGTTTGCAGAAACATCTTAGTTACACTCACCTAAAGGATTATTAGGAACACCATACTAATACTGTGTTTGACCCCTTAATTCAATGTGGCATTGATTCAACAAGGTGCTGAAAGCATTCTTTAGAAATGTTGGCCCATATTGATAGGATAGCATCTTGCAGTTGATGGAGATTTGTGGGATGCACATCCAGGGCATGAAGCTCCCGTTCCACCACATCCCAAAGATGCTCTATTGGGTTGAGATCTGGTGACTGTGGGGGTCATTTTAGTACAGTGAACTCATTGTCATGTTCAAGAAACCAATTTGAAATGATTCAAGCTTTGACGTGGTGCATTATCCTGCTGGAAATAGCCATCAGAGGATGGGCACATGGTGGCCATCAAGGGATGGACATGGTCAGAAACAATGCTCAGGTAGGCCGTGTCATTTAAATGATGTCCAATTGGCAGTAAGGGGCCTAAAGTGTGCCAAGAAAACATCCCCCACACCATTACACCACCACCAGCCTGCACAGTGGTAACAAGGCATGATGGATCCATGTTCTCATTCTGTTTACGCCAAATTCTGACTCAACAGAAATCGAGACTTATCAGACCAGGCAACATTTTTCCAGTCTTCAACTGTTCAATTTTGGTGATCTCTTGCAAATTGTAGCCTCTTTTTTCCTATTCATAGTGGAGATGAGTGGCACCCGGTGAGTTCTTCTGCTGTTGTAGCCCATCCGCCTCAAGGTTGTGTGTGTTGTGGCTTCACAGATGCTTTGCTGCATACCTCGGTTGTAACGAGTGGTTATTTCAGTCAAAGTTGCTCTTCTATCAGCTTGAATCAGTCGGCCCATTCTCCTCTGACCTCTAGCATCAACAAGGCATTTTCGCCCACAGGACTGCCTCATACTGGATGTTTTTCCCATTTCACACCATTCTTTGTAAACCCTAGAAATGGTTGAGTGAAATTCCCAGTAACTGAGCAGATTGTGAAATACTCAGACCGGCCCGTCTGGCACCAACAACCATGCCACACTTTAAAATTTCCTTAAATCACATTTTTTTCCCATTCTGACATTCAGTTTGGAGTTCAGGAGATTGTCTTGACCAGCACCACACCCCTAAAAGCTTTGAAGCAACTGCCATGATTGGATGATTAGATAATTGCATTAATGAGAAATTGAAGAGGTGTTTCTAAAAATCCTTTAGGTGTATTTGAGTGCTCCTATCCCTCTGATATGCTACTTTGAACATTTAAATTCAACGTAATACAACATTCACAACTAATTTTTGACTTTTTAAATGTCTAATTAAAACAGGATTTGCAAGAGGAAGAACAAACAAAGTTGGACTTGATCTCATCCATCAGGAATTGATTAGAAAGTGGGCGTTGAATGTGGTTTTTGTGAAGGTCTCCTCTTTTGAAACTACAGACACAAATATTTGAGAAGGCTCTTTGACCAGAACATGGAGGCTAAATGTCAAGTTCATCCTCGAGCATCTCAGCATATCACAATGGTGAAGATTTTTTTTCTTTTAAATCGTTATTTGCTATTTTTTGCTATTACCTTTGGACTCGAGATGAAGACGATGTGTACGCTGAAAATACAAGACCGCTGAAGTGCTGAGCAGATGGAGACGAGCATAAGCTCAGTGACAGAATCAGTGTTTCGAAAACAGGCAGATGGAATGTCAAGTCCTAGTGAATAAATACAGGAACTGCTGTCATATTTATAGAATAATAAATGTGTGAAAATTCAATCTGTGTAGATGTGGTACATTGCTGTTCAACACCAGCTTTGAAAAATATTATTTTACAGAAGGCCTCAAGTTATCAAGATTAGTAAGCGGTTACATCACACTAATCTCATGTTAACATGTATAATGTGTACGTCTGGTGGTCATACTGGTGGTAGGATGAGAGATTCCCTGATATGATTGTAAAGTACTTTGGGTGTACAGTAGTATATGAAAGCTAATTTAATGCCTTATTCATTCTTGTGGCTATACATTCAATTTTAAGATGTAAATTGATGCAATTTCTTGACCCTTATTTTTTTAGTTCAAGTGCAATTCTGTAAACAAATGTTTGTTATTTTTTTCAAACTGATGGATTCTTTTCAAGATTATTTAAAATTATTTTGTGGCTTTTACAAATTTTGTCAAGACAATTAATTCTAAACAATTATCCCTGGTCTTATTTTGCAAAATATGAAAAAATGAAAATTCACTGAGAGTTGGGAAAGACATTTCGGTCTCAAAAATTACACAACACCATTGCTGCTGTTTTTTCTGCTCACAGAAAGCAAGACAGTCTGATTTTCAACTATTATTTATTGTATGCCTTTGAAGACAATTGCTGTCCAGAGCATGCTATGGTGAGTCATTAATTAGTTTAATAAGTAATTACTGCGAGTGTAGAACACATTTCCTGTCCAGACACATTAGGTTTTAAAAACCCAATGTAAGAGAATGAGTCTTTAGTGAATTGTAACAAGGGCAGCTCTGGGTTAATAGATAATTTACATGGAATATTGCATGACTGGGATAAATAGGTACATCAATTACCATGAAATCCAATTTAAGCCTTGCATATAATGATTTGAATCATGTTCTAGTAGGCTATATAACTTTTCTTTCATACTTATACTTCCCTAATACATTTAAAACAAAAGCCTGCAGGAAATGTTTGTTTTGTTTTTTTAAATGGTTTGGCCCCGCTTATAGACTCAGTAGTGTAACTAGTTTGTGGTGGGCTAACACACATTCTCATTAATTATTTATTTTAATTTTTTCAGTCTTTTTTTCCTTTTTCATTTTCCCTTGTTCAAGATTCTTGTCAAGTTAGTATTGTCTGCAAGGCTCCTCTGAATAATTTATCCACAGCTCATAAACAGAATCCTAAATGACCTTAAACTCCCAATGTTTAGCAATATACCTAAGCAGTGATGTGAACTTGAGGCTGTTGATAGACCTCACACATTTTTACTGGTATCCGTTGTAGGCTAAATGTTTTCTGTCATTTGCTGAAATTTCTTGGAAATATATATTTTTGCAGTCTTTCGTCAGGAAACAATCCAAAAACACTAAATAACAGTACAACCCACTGAACAGATAAATGTTTATCTCTCACAACCTCACTTTCATTTCCTTTCAAAAGATGGTGCTGCTTTGAATAAGGTCTGCACATCTGTTATGAGCCTATGGCTTTCTATTTTTCGTGGGAAATTTTCAGTTAGTTATCTGATTTTCTTTTGTCAGTTATCAAAATATCCACGAAGTAATCAAGCGTAAATAACCCTAAAATATTTCGGTTATCAGAGTAACTTTTATTTTGAAATGCGTTTTTGCTTTAGTTCGCGGGTGAAGCAGCGGTAGTGCTACTGCGCATGTCTTCTGCTGGAGATTTGAAGTCAAGTCGCGGCCTGGTCGCGGCTCCTTACCTTGTGTAGGCTACAGGTAAGAAATATACTAATACTACATTTACAAAACATAGAATTGCATGTTTAAACAGTATTATAGAAATGGGAGAAACTAAGATTTGTGAAACTCTCAATTGAAAATTGACTGTTTCAAAGAAACAGTCACACGACACACGCTGATGACGCCTGCTTGTCAAAACAGTCAATAATAGCCCTATTTCACAAAATGGCCGCCAAGACTTGAAGTAGGGCAAACTTTTTTGCGGTGAAAGCGCTAGCAGTTGCCAGTTGCAGTCGGATGACAAATGCCGAGACTAAAACCGGTCCGTCCCGTTGCTTAGCCTATCTTTTAATCTTTCAAACCAAAGAAGAAACAACCATATGTATCACTTCACAGCTTTTCGTGATTGGAACAACTGTGGAGAAGTTTAATCACGGCAGACGCGTGTGAAGGATGAATCAGATGTTGAAATGTAGTGTTGATCGATGCTTTGAAAAAAAACGTGTATATTGCACTTGATTATTATCCGATTTGCACGTCATGCACTTTTATTTATTATTAATAAGTATTGGCAAATAAAAATTGTTTGTAGAAGATGTTTTCTGTAACTTTCATTGTTTTTAACATGGGTGCGCTTTGCCAGGCCTGCTGTTTACATGTGTGTGCAAGCAAGGGCTGGAACATTGATTAATGTGTAATGCTTTCCAAACCGTTACATATAGTCTTATAAATTCTGACGTTTGTGATATAAAAAAATAAACATTAGAATAACTTTTAAAGTTGTGTGAACACAAACAGTTTTCCGGTGAGCAAGAATGAAAACCAGGAGTGGATCTAGAGCGGAGTGACAACTGAACGGTAAGAGTGGAGAGAGGAACTTGCTTTTGCTCCAGTTCAGGCTTTGACTACATCTCCACAAGCAGGGTGAACCTTCCGACCCATTCAAATTAAAATTAAGACATTTGTTACATTATTTGACGACCTTAAGATAATGAAAAGGGTATTTTAAGACATAAGGACAGGGGGACCCGGATATTGACGGGAATCTGTTACGGATAACTTGCATACCTTTAATATTAGTATATTGGCTTACATTTTTAAATATATGAAATTGCTTATGTAATATGCAATATATATGTATTAACGCCATATAATGTATGTTAAACCACTTATGATAAGATTTAAATTCTTTTCATTAGGGAACCACAGACAGTTAATATTGTGTAACATCTAGGGATGGGGTAGATCCGATCCAGTATCTGTATCGGGACCTATACCAGCGTAATTCACGTATGGGGATTTCACAAGGATTAAAAAAAATAAATCTGCTAATGCTGTAAAGTGAATATAGGAAGTCAGACATTACTGTAACATTAAAGGTTGTAGCCTAGACTTTTAACCTAAAATCAACACAACACATTGTATGAAAACATGTAAACTAAACATAAGTCAGTTTTTGCATTAACTTGTGTTTTTATTATATATAGTCATCTTCATTTATATAGTGCTTTTAACAATATAGATTGTTTCAAAGCAGATTTATAGGGATAATATAAATGAAAGTAACAGATCGTTTGGCTTTACAGTAACAGATCGTTTGGCTTTATCTGTTGCAAATATCATTAGTTATTAACTCAAGGGCCGCTTATTCCGCTCTGGCCTGCTCATTTGCACGACAACAATGCCTGGTGGCTTGAGAACGAGCGTATGCACATTACACACACATACATTATCTAGACAGAATCTTTAGTTTCTTTAAAATTGCAAACTGCATGTAGCAGTATAACGTTTTGCAGCTCATTTCTTTTACATTACAAGTTTCCTTTTCACAAGAGATGTGGGTTATGCTGACCTTTTCATCTACTAGCACAATCCAAAGTTAATTGAAGGACTGAAATCTAGTTTATAGAATCTCTCTGTGACTTTATTGAATCATTTTACATGATGCATCTCATTGAAGCACCGACTGGGTGGTCAGTTGCCCATTGGTTCTATGTGTGGGAGATTATATGCTTTCATGTGTTTCTAATATTCTTACTGTTCTTTAGCATTATCTCCCAGACTTCACCCGAGTCAGCGATTTCATAGCTACTATCAGTCCAGACTGAGTACCTCAGGTCAAGACAAGACTAGCTGCGAAATGGAATAAAGATATACTCCATGTTAATGTTTTTCACATTTTGTTCCGAATGATCTTATTAAGTCGTAACATCCCTTGAGATATCTAAAGGATTTCTTTTTCTTTTTATAAATGGGTGAGCCCTTAGGTATGCATAATTCTTGATGTGGTTTCAAGTGAGTTCTCTCACCCCTGAGGGGGTAAAAAGTATTAAGCTCAGTAATTGCTGTCTGGCTTTTTTGTCTTGTGATGTGGATTTAGACTGCTGTTGTTGAATGGAGGTGTATTAAATAGCTTAGATTCTTGTCTGAACTTAGGATGTCAAGTGTGTAATGTGATGGAAGTTGAAATTAATTACCCTGATCAGCTCTCGGTTGTAGATGGACACATTGATTAGGGTTTAAAGTCGGTGTGAAATAAGGCATGAGTTCATCCTATGTAGATCATATTGTGAACGATTTATCTATATTTCTTTTTTTTTTTAGAAATCATCTTGCAATGTTTACCCTTCCGGCAATGTTACTACGCAATTTGGAAAAGTATGGAATTTAATTGAGTCATATCCAGGTCTTGAAAAGTGTTGAAAAAAAGAAAAAAATTTACTGGCTATTGCCCTTGTTTAGTATTCTATAAAAGAAAATTAAGAATTTAATGAAAATAAATGTATCGTACAAGAAGTGTTTTTTCATGGCAGCTGTTTAGTGATTGTCAAACACGACTGAATGAATTCAAGGTGCACATTTTCATTATGCAAAAATGCAGGTTATAAGGGTTTTGGGTTTCTCCTCATGAAAGTCTTTTCACTGTATTATTGAGCCTCTAAAATGACCTTTGCAAAAATAAATGAGAAAACTTTGCACACTGAGCCACCTTTTGCACCATCAGCCCGTTACGATGTGATTTCTTGGCCTCCACATAGTACGTGTTAATTCAGACAGAAAGCCTTGAAATATGATGTACTGCCCTAATACAAGGCAAATTTTGTACACTTAGTAGTATACTTAGTATATATACAACTAGAAATTGTAATGCTTTCCACGCAAAAAATTCCTGTGCGCATGTGGATAGTTTCTAGAGGGCACAAAACGTTTCTTGTGTGCATGCAAAAATCTGTATATTTATTTATAACAATAATAGATGCTTATTAATTTTTTTTTTTTTCATGTTGATTTTTTTTTTAACCTGCTATTGTTGCTGAGCCGGCATGTAATTTTTTAGCGTCAAAAAGCATGTCTAATTAATTGAAATCATGTGTTATTAACTTTGTTTTTTAAATATATATGAAAAAAAACATTCACACTAATTCTGTTTTTTTGCTGGTAATAAAATGAAGCCATAAAACACAAATTTTGTCATTTATCATAAACGTTTTGTCAAATAACTGCAGAATGAGCTTTACTGTTAAAATTAAAACATAGATTATTCCTTAAATTCAGTTTTTTTAAATCATAATTTATTTGTATTAGCGTTCATGTATTATTACATCTGGACATATCTAATTTCTACTGTACAACAGTAATATATTTCTGTCAAGTTAAACCGAACTTTTATTTTGGCGGGTTGCCGTGAAGACCTTTTGAGTTTCTGGGCTTTTCTAAA